TCAGGGTAATAAGAAACGTTTTGGTTGATTCTGAATCAAAAGTAAGAATGGTGTTGGTGGTGATACTAGAGACAGCAGGGAAGTCCTTCAACATCAACATGTTGCACCACGAGAGCCTCACCTTGGCATTGTGCCCGTGCTGCATGCATCTCGGTCACTGCCAGGCTTTCTTGAACTCATAAAGTCAAGTGGCAAGTATTTGAAACTCATGTAGCCTGTAAGAAGACTTCTGGCTGAGCAAAGGAAGACTACTCTTCATCGTTTTCGCGAAGCGCCTTGTGAACAAGGATAAGTACACCGGGTGCGGGCCCCATATCATGTCCATGTCATACGTCCTGCAAAGATTAATTGTCATTTTATAAAGGACTTTGGCGGGAGTTTTGAAACTAGAGGCCGCTGGGGCGTGGCATGATGGTGTGTTCCAGGAATGCTTTCTAAAACAATGAAAAGCCCTCGAAACTCCATAAACTTCCTAAAGTCGCCGGTCCGGCGGCTTCGTCACCGGAAGTTGTCGCAAGCATCCGTTTTTTGGGAGGGCAGGAGAGGCATCTACCACCCTTCCCATGGAGAATTATAAATGCCAAACAAAATCCAATTAACCCACAGCTTGGATCAACACCATCAGTTCATCAGATCTTCAACTACCTTAGCTCACAAGAAAACCGGTTATTTAAGCTTTAAATCGGATTACCCTCTAGCCAACAATGAAATTCTCAATTATCGCCGTTGCCTTTTCCCTCTTGGCAGGAAACGCGTGCGCGCTGCATGTAAGTTCTTCACCAATATGGCCTTGTCACCTCTCCATCCCGATAATGAATGACTTTCGAAACTGGGTGACCTTCTGCGCCCTACTTTGCTCTACCCAATTGTTCTAACGGTAGTTCGTCACAGAGATGCTCTTGTCAGCTCGGATCATCGTGCCAAAGCTTCTCTCAGGTGGAAGATAATCAGAGCTGCGGGGACTTCTGCAAGTCAAGCTTTAATAATGCGAAGACGTGTTGATTGCATGTGCAAATTAGTGGGGTGAAATTTGTAGCTAGTTTGCGAACACGGTTCTCAATACATGTATTTTCTGGTCTAAAGAATTTGATGAGCACTCGGTATATAGGTAGTAATGTAGCTACTTTCGAAGTCGCATCAACAGAATCCCAGCAGAGCTAAGAGGCACGGCCTTGGGGGCAGGATGCGCCCCAATAATCCTTCTCCAGTCAGTTGTTCCATGGCCTCTTTGTGAACTTGATGACTGGGGACGTATCAGAGAGCTTTAAAATGGCATAGGCCGCCTGGTTTGGTCGAGTAGTTCGCCACGACACTTCTTCAGGCAACCGGAACTTTTGCTGCCTAGGGGCTTTTGTTGGGCACCACACGCACCTTGAGCAAAAGGCTTATGCAGGCTGGTGTGTGCGGGCAAGACACAGAGACACCTGCAAGCCTATCAACTCTTGGTATTACACAGCTCCGTCACGACTCGCTCTGGCACTGGTCGTCTACACGATTCTCGCAGCTCTAGCACCTCTTGATAAGCCTTGGCAAACATCAGGCGACCAATGCCCTGTCACTCGTCTTTGCCATGTAGCAGAAGTCCCCGTCAGCTCGTCAGGCTGTCCTTTTCTTGGTGTTGTTCTCACAAAAGGGTCATTTCTCCGAATCACTCATTCATTACAAGTTGAAATGCAAATTGCAGACCTCCAAAAGCATTCGGCATTCTCATTTGGAATCTGGCGTAGTGCTTTGAATTTTGCACCGGGCACATTACTTTCGCTAAGTCGACAAACTACCGACGTCCCTTTTGCATAGTCATAGACATTGCAGCATCGTTCAATTGACTATTGCCATGTCTCCCATCGAGTGGGAGAGTTGGAACGATGAGATCACTCAACTCTACGTCACCGAAGACAGATCTGCGGAGGAAACAATCAAGGCTTTGAATCAGAGACACAAACTGAGGATAACGTATGTGTAAACCTTTGTCGATCCCCTAAAACTTTTACACCAAGCCTCTAACACTAGAGAAGTATCAAACAGTTCAAGAAGCGCTATTCAGGCCTCAAGAAGGTGCGCGCCAATGAATGGAGAGCCATCAAACGAGAGATGCAAAAGCAGAAGGCTGCAGGCAAAGAATGTCTGGTCTTTCTCAACGGGCGGCAGCTTGGCTCTGAGAGGGTCGCTAGAGAAATACGTCGATATAGCGGCATTCGTGGCCGAGATGTGGAGGATGGCGGTGCCCTAATCGGTGAGTACATAGCCTGGAACTTCTGACTATTCGTCGTTGAGCACCACATCTCTGAGACATAGTAGACATTGGCATCAATACCATAGGCCAGCATCGATTAGAACTGCGCACAAAGAACCTTTCTCGGAGCGAAAGTGCGTCAGACAACGGAATGAGCGTCTTGCAACTTCCTCCTACAGCGGATGTTACTCGTGTCGTAGACTCTTGTGGCCCAAATTTAACGGATGACAACTCTTCCTCTGCAGAGGTGTACTCTTTCGATTTCGACGGGAGTAACATGAGCATAAGCACTCCTCACTTTCCTGAGCTTCGGTTCCAGAAGAATTTTCGGCACACGCTACCCGTACAGGGCTTCCCACCGCGACGAAGTGGTCCAGGAGGGGTCGACGAGAATAGCGAGGGTACGACATCAGCCATTTACCAGCGACCGTATCCAACACCGAAATATTTCATTCCCGACTTCGACCTTTCTAATTCAAGCATGGCGTCGAAGTCTACTTTCAAGATACCAGCTCGCCTTTTAAGGATGTTAAATGGAATGGCATCGAATGCTTCTCGTATGTGATAGGTAGAGGGGCCTAGGGCATGCTCGTTGGTAAATCACTGACAACGGCCGTAGAAGTCGATCACTTTATGAGAGCCCTCGAAAGAAATATCAGTACCTTTGCCTCCAAGGCCAACCGTATCCAGTGGCCAGCCAGGCAGGAGATACGGAATCCTGACTGCGGCTGGAAAACTCTTGCGATTGTTGATACTTCTCTACACCATTTGAAGCCCATCTACTTTTTTGCCGAGGAAATCCTCCACGCCAAAGACATCTCGAGATGCCTTGAGAACGCGGAAGCAAAAGATTGCCAAATGGCTATGTGCCAAGATCAGAGTTTACTGAATCTTTTCTTCTCCGTTGTTCTCCATCTCATTTGCAACAATATCGCAGGAGTCCATGCAATTCCCTCGTTCCTACAATGGGTGACGGAAATGGATGTACTGGATCAGCTTGCGATTTATCTGAAGATGAACCCCGAAGATGCCGACGCCCTTTTAGAAGCAGCTATACGGCGGCTCAGACTAGTTCTCAATGAAGACAGACATCTGCAGTTTTTTATTTCCTGTAGATCCCCATGGTGGGAGCAGCTAGTCGACTTCTTCGATAAAAAAGAGCTGGGACTTTCCCCCGACCTGTCTTCACTTCTTCTTCATGCCATTGCAAGAACTTGGAGCGTATCATCTGCAAGGGTACTACTGTCTCATGGAGCTGACATCAACTTTACCGCACCCATCAGATATGCCGCACCCACCGGGAGCGGGAAAACACCTCAATGTCCTGCCCCCCCCCTTGGGCCTCCGCTATTCCATGCCATATATTCCGAGAATTTGGACATGGTAGAATACCTCATCGAGGCAGGATCTGAAATCGACCGCTGCTACCACACGGATCCTCCCACGTTGTTCTGCAACGCTCTTAGTATCTCCATTTCCGAAAGACTCCCGCGATTTGCAGAACTTCTGCTTCGAAAGGGAGCTCAGATACCCCCATCGATCAAAATCAATTTGCGGCTCCTCCAAGTCTTCTTGAACAACCATCATGACGAAAGGTATCCGCTTCTTCGGCAATGGATCCGTCATTACCTGCCACTCATTGATATAGTCGTGGAAGCTGCGAGTATCGGTAGTGATGAGCTTTCCAAAGTCCTTCTAAGACACAATATCCTTCAGGAGGCGGCTTTGGAATGCGCCTTGCGTCGAGCCGTCAAGACAAAAGACGCTCTTGCTGTACAAACCCTACTTCGACGTGGCGTGAATCCGAACCCACCGCCATGTCAGATCGAATGCTCGAGAATTCTAGGCATTGACGAGGAAATAGTGGGAGTGGCACCAATATGTTTGTCCGACAATGCTCTTGACGAAGGCAGAGACATCACATGGTTACTATTACGGGCTGGTTCAATTGTGCCCGATCACCTTCTTATCGACATTTTTCGATGGGACAGAGACAATACTGAACTGTTATTATACTCCCTTCTAGAATCGAGAGGGTTAGCGACGCCAGTCATTGGTGCCTCCGCCTTAGTGAATGCAGTCACAAGCGAAAGCCTGATCTCATGCAGTCACCTACTCGATCTCAAGGCTCCTGTTAACTACTATGGAACCAACAGAATGAGTTGTTTACAACAGGCGGCAAGTCGAGGAGACATGCTCCTCACACAATTCCTTCTTGAGCATGAAGCGGATGTTAACTTTGATGCCCATGAAGATGGAGGACGTACGGCGCTGCAGGGTGCCGTTGAATATGGCGCAAGTGCTGTTGTTGAGTATCTCCTCAGTGCTGGTGCAGATATAAAGGCTGCTCCGGCGAAAAAGGATGGAGTGACCATACTCGAAGCTCTCGCCAAATGCGAACAATTCTCCTTGCGTGCAAAATTTAGTGTGGGAAGCTTTTGGGCCTATCCCGAAAATCTACTTTTGAAGTTGGATCGTTTCCGAAATTGGGTGGCCATGGGTGCACCCATTAACCGCCCTAACGGAGATGACAGCAGCCTGCTACATTACTTGGTCCTTAGGTTCCATCGTGGCTGCCTAGAGTTGGCATTGGGCTTAGGGGCAAGGATAGAGGACAGATGTCGAGTACATAAGTATGGGGTTCCTTATGAATGTTTGGAAGGGACCAAGACCCCGCTTCAACTTGCCGCATACTTGGACAAGATGGAAGCTGCTCGCTTGCTGCTCCGCCATGGGGCAGATACTAACGCCCACCCGAGTGACGAATATGGCAGGACCGCATTACAGGCAGCAACATGTAATTCCAAGGGAGAGTGCGGCCATGAGATGCTGCAGCTTCTGCTCTCCTTCAAGGCAGATGTCAATGCGCTACCAGCAAGGATAGGCGGCCTCACAGCCCTACAGGCGGCAGCAATCAGCGGTGACCTGGGCATTGCCAAGATGCTGCTCGAGCGAGGAGCAGATATCAACGCTCCTGCCGCCGCCGAGAAAGGGAGGACGGCAATCGAGGGAGCAGCTGAACACGGCCGTTCGGATATGGTGGATTTCTTGCTCCAAAATGGCGCGAAAGGAGACCCAGAGACCGGGTTTTCCAGGGCCATTGAACTCGCTGAAGCGGAGGTCCATTTCGGAGTTGCAAAAATCCTACGAGAACACGTTGCCACGTTGGCGCTTCGAGACTTCGATCTGGCACACGAAGCGGGCGGCGATCAGGTTGGACCTCTACCGTCTCCAGGGTTCGTCTTCTCCGACGAGATCTTTACAGATTTCAACTTTGAGATGCCGAGTTGAGCACCCTGAATATATGACTGGATGGCGGCGTATGAAGATGGGTCTTAAGAAGAATTGGTGTTCTGGCTAGAACGCAGCACGTATTAGGCGCTTTCGGCATGGTTTGGACGGTGTTGGAGTTAGAAGGTGGGAGGGCTTGACGGTATGACTCTGGCCAAGAGCGAAGGATCTGTAAGGAGCTTGCCGATCTCGAGATTGAAAGGATATTTCTTCAAATGTTGGTACTTTGCTATTTAAGTGGCCGGTAATAGTACATACTTTACTCAAGAAAGTAACATCTCGTGTTGACATGGAACATTGAGTCAAGTTAGGACTATAATTACACATGTGCGATCAGGTATGAGGCTAACATAAAGCAACCATTGATAAACTCCAGTTTTCATCACCAGCTCTAACAAGCTGGCCCCCTCACTCTCACTACTTCTCTATATACAATCTCCCCAAATCCAACCTCATCCAAATCCCACATCTATACCACCCCACCCTTCTTCTGAAAAAGACTGTAAAGGCAGATCCACCTCCTAAAAGACTGACTGGCTTGCTTGCTAGGCGATATGAAGAATCATTCAATGCATGTGCGTGCGTTGCGTAAACAAGACGTGTGGTTGTGATATCGTAACACTTTGCTTCATTCCTTCTTCTCCTCTTCCTTCCTAACCTCGTTCATTTCACATATCCTCTTTGTCCCTTCTTGCACATGCCAACTCGTTCATTCCTTTCACAGCTCATCCCGTTCATTCTCATCCATTTCCTCCATTTGCTCAGTCTCTTCATTCACATCCCGTGCTTGCTCATCTGCAACTTCGTTCTCCACGTCCTCTGCGACGGGGAGAGCTGACTCAGTAGCCGGTTCTTCTTCCTCGGACTCGGCATCTTCTGTGAACTCTTCGACAGGTGACATAGTCTCAAAAGCCGATGCCTCTTCAGTCTCGGATGCATTCTCGGAGACGAGAGTCTCAGAAGCGTCCTCCGCAACTGGAGCGTCAGCAACAGCCTCGTCAATATTGGCCTCATCGGCCTCAACCTCATCAACATCAGCCGCAACACTAGCCGTCGGCTGAACCCTAACGACCTCCGTCTCCGTAACAACAGCCTTGACCGTCTCCGTCACAGTCTCAATAATACGCACCAACTCCCTGGTAGTGATGGTCTCATGAACCGGAGTAGGCAAAGGAGCCCTCACCTCCTCAGAAGACGAGGAAGGAGAAGCAGTCACAGAAGTCTCCTGCTCCACAGCAGAAGTCTGCTCAGTAGCTGAAGTAGCCGTACTCTCAACCTCCTCAACACTCGCAACAGACTCAGGCACGAAAACCTCCACACTAGGTTCCGGTTCAGCGACTTCAACATCAGGCGTAGGCTGAACAACAACCTCTGCCGAAGCCTCAGACGCCGTCACAGACTCCACGACAGCCTCAATACTCTCCATCAACGGCGGCGCCTGCGCCTGCGAGGAAGGAACCTCAGCCACAGGCGCAGCAGCATGATCGACAAACTGCCCATCCCAATCCTTCACCTCCCTCGGCGCAGGACGAATCGCCATAAACAGCACGAGCAAACTCATGACCACAATGGCGAGGTTCTTCTTATCCTGCATAAATACACGCGCAGCCTCGAGGAGCAGCTCCGTGAGTCCGGCGTTCTGGAAGGCTTGTTGCCGCTGGTGGTGCTGGGCGTAGGCTTCCTCTGGCGGGGGCGGGGACTGATGGTGCTGATGTTGCTGCTCGTGGTAATGAGCTTGTTGGGGTTCCGGCTCAGGTTGCTGTTGTGGGGGAGGGGCGGAGCGAGCTGAGTAGGCATCGTGGTGAGATGATGCCGGCCGAGATTCGGGTGCTGGCTTGTGGTGCTCTGATTCAGGCGCCGGAGAGTGTCCGTAGATCTCACGCATGCGCGCCTCGTCACGGAGACGACGCTCCTCGCTTTGGTCGTAGCGGGGCATCGGCTCCGGAGACGGAGGGCGGACGTCCTCTGCCGCAGCGGGGGGAGGTGATGAGACCGGGATATGGGCCTCGCTCTCAATGTAATTCGGCTCCAAGAGATGAGTCTCCTCAATATGCGACGTCTCGTGCAGAGGCTCCTCCATGGACGGCATGTCGCGATCAAAGTCTGACATACCGCGGTCCTCCGGCATATCTCTCCCCTCGGTAGACTCAAGGATCGTAGGATCGTGCTTGACGAGCGACATCTGCTGCGACTGCGCCACAACAAGCCGCTCCAGCTCATCCAGCACAGCCGACTCGACAATGGGCTCAATCTCGACATCAACACGCTCCATCTCCTTCCAGCACGCCGCCCAGGCACCGGTCCTCATAAGGCCGTTGCTAGCGTACACCTTGATGCGGAAGATCTTGCCAGGACCGAGGGACTCGTAGCGGATCTCGTGACGACACGTCTGGCACCAGTGCGTTTTCGCGAAGGCGCTCTTGCGTCTCGACTCTTCGTCGTACTCATCCTCGTCGCTGTCCATGTCCTCGCCGAGCGTCATCTCATTGGAGGGGCCGAGGTAGTGCCCACACTCGAGGACGCGCGCCCGCCGGCGCAGGGGCAGGTCGAGGGCTTCTAGCAGCCGTTCCTCGAGGATCTCGTACTCGTCTTGCGGGTGGGAGAGGAGAATGCCGCGCTCGCAGACGGTATCGGCGACACGGTCATGGAGGTGGTGCCACGCCTCGCGGAGAGTCTTTGCCTCAGGGGACAGGGTCTCAGAGGACGTCTGCTCCAGAATCTCGGCCCATTGCCAGCGGAGCGGGAGCAGGGTGACGTGTAGAAGGACGAGCGGGGCGGGCTCCTTTTTGGGGTTGAAGCGGGTAGGTGTCTTGCGGCCCTTGGCGGAGTATTGGGCGGAGACGTTGGGGCTGCCGAGGCGGGAGATGGTCGGCACCTGGGAGCGTTTGCTGGAGCGCGGCGAGTAGGAGCCGCCGGACACGGATGGCGCGGGGGATGAGTATTGCAGAGCCCGGACGTCGGAGGGGGAGCGGAAGGGCATCCTGGGCGCGCCGCGGATGGTTGGGACGAAGTCTTCCTTGTCGTAGTAGGACATCTCGGACACAGACACGTCGTCGGACATGTGGGAGAATCTCTTGGACGAGCGGTTGCTGGTGTCCTTGTGATGGTCAATGTTGCCATCAAAGGAACCGAGTGAGCTACGCGGGCTGCGGTCGCTGAAGACATCCGAGTCGCCGTGCTGGGAGGAGCTGTCGCCGCCGTCTTCGTGATGTGCAGGTCGACGGCGGGCATCGCTCTCCCGACGGCTGGATTGCGATTGTGTGTTGTAGGACTCGCGACGACTTGCCCTCGATTCCGTGTTATAAGACTCACGGCGGCTGGCACGCGAGTCGGTGTTGTAGGATTCGCGGCGAGTGCTCACATCGTAGTGTAGCTCTGTGCCATTGTTTGTAGATCCCGTGGAGTCGTGGCGTGCGTGTGACCTATTTCTGATAGTCTCCATCGTTTGAGCTTCGAGTCGCTCGAGGACCTCCTTGGCGGCAGCCTGAATGAGAGCATCGGTACGACCGGAGACGCGGCGGAGGGAAGAAGAGGAGCGACTGGCTTCTTGGACGGCGGGGGGCTCATCGCGATCCTCGTCGGCGACTTCGATGGCAGGAGCGGGTGTTGGGGTCTCATCCGAGTCTGTCTGAGCCATGTTGAGTGAGTCTGCGACCTGCTCTGCGAGTTCACTGGTTGTGAATTCGGCCGCGGGTCCAAGTGACCTTCCCCTCTCGACTTCTTCGTCTTCAGGTTCTGTCTCCAGGGCGGGTGTAGATTCTTTCTCGAGTTCAGCCTCGACCTTTACTTCGGGTTCCGTCTCTGGCTGAACCTCTGGCTCGACTTCGACCTCTACTTCGGGTTCGGGCTCTGGCTGAACCTCTGGCTCAGCTTCTGGCTCGACGACCCCTTCCTCGGGCTCTGGTAGGGCCGGCTCTTCTTTGCTCTCTTCCTCCACTTCGGCCTCAGCTTCTGCCGGGAGTGTTGTCTCTTCAGCAGCTTCCTCAGCCTCAACAATAGCTTCAGGCTCAGCTTCAGGCTCGGCCCCAAGCTCTGCCTCTACTTCAGCCACCAACTCTTCCAGCTCGGTCTCCGCCTCAGCTGGTGGTGCGGGAGTATCTTCTGAAGCTTTCTCTTCGGATTCAACCTCCACCGCTGAAGGCTCCTCCTCAGGTGTATCTTTAGTATCGATATTCGCAGACGAATCCTCCTCTGCTGGTGTGCTTTCGACTTCTTCTGCCGCTGTCGCTTCCGGTGTATCCTCCTCAGTGGTATGTGTTTCTTCCGAGGCAGGTTCCGCCTCTTCGACCTTGCTCTTAGGTTCTTCAGAGGTATTCTCCGCAGCAGGCTTCGTCTCCTCAGCCTCCGCAGTCTCATCAGGTGTCGTCTCGGCTTCCTTCTCAGCAGTGCCTTCAGTATCAGCCTCCACAACAGCGTCTGTTGCAGCTGCCCCAGCCACCGTTGTGTCTTCTTCGTCCTTGTCGTCTTCCTTCACATCGTCAGACTCGATCTTTGACTCCTCCACAACGACCTCGGGAGTCTCGTCTTTGACATCTTCTGGTGTAACTTCCGGCGCATCTTCCACCGTCTTCACCTCCTCGGCCTCGGCCTTGGCAGCAGCAGCAGCGGGGACGTCGTCGTCCATGAGTTCGGGCTCGGCAGCTTCGTGCGCGGGTGTGTTCAAGCAAGACTGATCAACATGGATCTCAAAGTCGAGATCCTCGGGTTTCGGCCCGGATCGTAGCATCTGTCAGTAGTCGACAGACAGACAGACGGACACTTGAGAAATCCCCCGTTCGCTCAAGTCGTTAAGGTAGAACGGGACGGGAAGCAGTAGTAAGCTGGATAAAAAAAAGCGGGCTTGAGGAATGCGGTGAATGCGGGTTGGGATAATCCTCCTTTCTCTTTAGAGACGAGAAAGAGAGACACAAGTCTCGAGAAACGTGAGGAAGCTGTGTGTGGGGGTGGTACCCTATAATTCCAGTCTGTTTATGGCCCCAGGTCCGGGACGGGTCGAGGGAGCAACCGGTTTTTTTTGGAGGTGGTTCGTTTGGGATGGTTTGGTTGAAATTGTGGTGCTGCTCTTTTCGAACAGGTAGAAATCAAGGTGGGACCTTGGCTTAGAGAGACTTTTCAATGTTGACTTCGAACTTGTTCTGGACAGACAGAACGACAGAGACAGAGACACGAAGAGAGGTGTTGGGCTAATATGTGATGCTTCGTTGTCTCCCGGTGGTTGGTCAAACTATTGCAAGTGGGTTTTCTTCCTCTCGTCTTTTGGCGCCGGTTGGGCATTCACGAGAGAAAAAAAGGGAGCTGCGGTGAGAGTGAGGCGCGTCTAGCCAAAGGGCCTCTTGGGTCAGGGTGCATGCATCTTGCATTTCCCTTTGCATTGACAAGTGACGGGAGTGGCTGGCGCATCGACTGGGGGTTGCGTGAGCTGTGTGCTGCTCAATCTGTTTTGTTTACTTTCGTTGCCGGGTCGAAATACGGGGGTTTCTAGCGGGTGGGTGGTGGTGGACGGTCACTGGTGACGGAGTGGGGGTGGAAATTTGACCCGCAAATCTTTTCCTACGCCCAACCATGCCATTTTTATGATGCCTTCTTTTCGCCCAATTGGGTTCTTTGCCTCAACGTTCTGGACACACACGAGAGTCTTTGAATTCGGATGGTTGGGGGAGGATACTCGTGTACGAATCTGCAGTGTCATGGTATAATATTTTCCTGTCCAGGATGTAATCTGTACTTTCATATTCGTCTCTTCCCGTTGTCAAGGAGCTTCAAACAAAAGGATTCAAAAGCTCGCTTTCCCACGGCGAGTTCCCTTCTATTCGACTTCAAGAGGGAATTTGACGTCATCCAATAAACGCCCGATAAGAAGATAGTTGCACCATCAACGGGAATCCCGGACTCTCTCTGTCTCTCTCCATCTTGAAAGCTCCTGTCTCCAGGGGTTCAAAATGTCGGTGACCGGTCTGGGCACCGTCTTAGCCACCCGGATCACCCCATCCGGTCTCCCCATCCTATCCGTGGTCCCCTTCACTCCGTACTACTTACAGTCTACAGTGCAGTGCCCATCCCGTTGTGGCGGCATGGCGGCATGGCCCAGTTGCCGGGCCGCTTTGACGGTCACAAAAAGTCAATCCAACTATCCGTCCTCTCTGTACAGATAAAACTAGTGAATATTGGAAATGAAGTGCTCTGACGATCGCGACAGCTTAGCTTCGATCCCGCTTGTTGATGTGAATATGTCATGTTGTGATTTCGTCAGTGGCTTGCCTTTTATTGTTCGTCTTTACCTGGACAGAAGGCTGAGCAACTATCCTCCACGCGTACAGAAAACATACATGAATAGCACAGATCAACATTCGCATTCACAACAGTTGGAATCAACTGAGAGGTTCAAACTCCCGGTCTATGATTGCAAACTACAAAGCGACTATTATACAACCCTCCGGCAGGCCAGCCATCTTTTCGTCTATCATGCTCTATGCTTCTATGATAGGCAGTGTCCTGAAAAGATTACCCAAGTCCCCACCCCCAAGGAGTCTTGCTGAACAGATGAAACAAGAAGTTTGCCCAGGCCGATGTTCGTTAAGAGAAATTTCTAATGCAGAGAAGAAATGCAGCCCCGTCTAGTGGAGGGGGGGCCGGCAATGCTGCTTGCTGCTGTGAGAGGATATCATAAAAATGTGGTTCCCCGCCGTTTGGTTTTCATTCCTGGGTTATGCAATCCTGGGTCCAGGGTGATGAATAGGGGACGGAGGAGACATCTCTGTCCTCATCCAGAAACCAACACCATTCTTCTTCGTCTTCTTCGCCAACCATCTTCTCGCCTCGTCTTTCCGGTTCGTCAAGTCGTTGTTTATTTGGAGATCTCAACACCGCCGGTGGCACCGAGGGCCTTCTTGAGGTCACCGTAGATGGCGAACTGACCGGCAGTAAGGGTACCGACCATGAAGAGACGGGCACCGATACCGGTGTAAGAGCCGCGGATGCCGAGCTCCTTGGCGATCTTGATGAGGCGGGAGGTGGTGCCTTCACCGGGGAGACCCTTGGTCTTGTTGATCTTGGAGAGCATGGTGTCGGCGGGCTGGGAAACGATGGCGGCGGCGAAACCGGCCATGAGACCGGAGCCGAGGTTGACGGCGGTCTGGGCACCGTCGGAGAGGGTGTTCTTGGGGTACTGGCGGAAGATGGCCTCGGAGACCTTCTCGAAGACGACGAACTTGGACATGGTGTAGGGGATCCTGAAAAGGTAGCGTTAGTTTTTGGTGTTCTATTTGAATTCCGTGCGGCGCAGGACGCATCATGGGTGTCGATTCAACACCGAAGCTGGGATATTGCACTTACTGCTTGAACAGAATGGGTCCGAAACCGGCGTAGAAGGCACCGACACCCTCGTTCTTGAGCATCTTGCTGAAGCCGCCAATGAGACCGTTGGCGTAGGTGGGCTCGGAGACGAGACGGATACGGGTGGCCTCAAGAGGGCACAGGGCAATGTCGGCGAAGAACTCGGCGGCAGCGGAGGAGGCGAGGTAGACAGCAGTGCGGTTGTTGACGGCGTTCTCGTAGCCGATCAAGTTGATGGACTGCTGCTTGAAGAACTCGTATCCACCGAACTTCAGGGAGCCCTGGAGGAAGTAACCGGCAGCGGTAGGTCCGAAGCCGGTGAGAAGAGCGCCGGCACCCTCGTTCTGGATGACCTGCTTGAAACCACCGATCATACCGCGGTTGTAGGTGGCGGGGTCGAGCTGGATTCTGGTCTTGACGCTGTTTATCTCATGTTAGCCATTTGTGCCAATTGGTTTGGATACCGTTACGGTCCGTCATTGTTGACGGTCGCGATTGAGCAGAGAGCTTCTCTGGCGGACTGCGGTCTTGCTCTTCCATTGTCCGCCATTTGGCTTGTGAAAGGACACGCGCACCGACCAGAGAGAAGATTCTCCCCTAGCTCAACTGAGGAATCCGGGAAAGAAAAAACACCTACACATCGACGGGAGTGAGGGCACCGTGGGTGACGGAGCAGCAGACGGCACCGGCAAGGGCGAATCTGGAGTAGAGGGCAAGACCGGAGAGCTGGCCAGGGGCGGCGGCAGCAGCCTTCTCAACGACGGCATCGACCTTGGCCGAGCCAGTGGAAGGAACAGAAGAGGCCATTGTGGATGTGATGTGTGAATCGAACCGGAGAAAAAAGTACAAAAGGCTGAGTGGGGAGGGACTTGTCACGAAGAGCCGCGCAACGGGATCGTGAGGTTCAAGGGGATGGGGGATGGATGGTTAAAAAAAGGGAGAAACTTTTTTTTTGTTGTTGTCGAGGGACGGGAAGTAAGAGGTGGCCGGGTAAAAATTGTGAGGCCTTTTTTTAGCGGCGCCGCGGCTGGGGGGGAGGAGCGAACTAGGACCGAGACAGGCGCAATTGGGAACTTGTCCTTTGCAGCGGAAAAGATTGGCTCGGGATTACTCGGGTACCCGCGATTGCGCACTGCTCCAAAGGTACGTATCTGCTATCAGACCGGGGTGAGCTCTTTGCTTCGGTCTCTCGGAAAAATCTTTGCGTGGCCAGTCGCTGGTCGGCCAAGGTTTAGCCGGGGCGGTCCTCCCGCAGCATCCAGTCCTTGCTCGCTTTGCTATGCATTCCATCGCCGCAGTTCAAGTTTTTTTCTTCTTCATTTCCTTCCAACGCAGCACGCAAAAACCACAAAGGGATCCACCCGTCCACTTAGCGCCCTTCATTGACCCATGTGTTTGCCCGTCAGTGTCGTCAGAGCTGTCCGGGATGGGCCATCTAGAGATACCTTACGGATAACTCCCGCTACCTCTAGCTGCGTAGCTATCGCCGTTGGATGCAATCTGTGATAATTACCTAATCCTCAACCTTGAAGTTCTTGGGCATTAGCAATTCCATCCATGGCACTCTTCGCGGCGCACATCGAGGCCGCCTGGCCCAAGTTCTGTTCCGTACATCTTACGTCCCTGAAACATCGTTGCGATGTCCGGCTTGGTGTGAATTCGACACCTGCGTCAGAGTCGCCCTCCATCATGACTCAAATTCGCCATCTTCCCGCACGCCCTCCTCCTAGCGGATGAGGTAAGCTCGGGAACCTCTCCGGCCACACCCAGCCGCCAAGTATCGTCCGGTTCCGCTGCTCCGATACCTCCGGGTAAACTACCGTCTCCCGACAAATGTGAGGCATTCGTGAACAAGTACGGAGTCAGCTCTAGATGTTTATCAGAGCAGGTGAGTTGCAGTGTTAATAATTCTCTTTTATGGACATGAAGAATCTTGATTCCCCAGCACCAAACTGTGTTCCAAAGACGTTGTGTGAAGAAGCGCGCGCTGAAAAATTCTGCCTTCAATAAGAGTACAACCTCAGAATAAATAATACAGCGCCAAGAATATGCATTTCAGTACCGCTTAATAGTTTGCGTCCAAAAGGCCGCACCGAAACTCAGGCCGTCATCATCAAATAATTGCATATATCGCAAAGCATTGTCCGCCGATAATTCTTTTCGTTCCTGTCCCAACACCTAGATTTTGGTTGCCCAACCAGTCCCAGCTCGTAGTATACCGATTGATCGTGCTTCTGGGGGTATATGTAAAATGACAGTCCAGTTCTGTGGAATGATAATAAGACGCAACGTGGTTGTAGATGATGATGATCTCGACAAGATGTCAACTTAGGAGCCTGAATCCATATTGTTGTTCTCAAATAGGCCCAGCACGTCTCCGGGCAGATACTCCAACCAGGGTGGCATCATCTCGTTTGGCAAACCTAACGCTCCAATATCAATCGGGTTTTCAAAGGTGATGACATCAGTGATGGGGCCCATGCCTTGCCCAAGATAGGAGTATGTCGCATTGGCGTACGTAGGATCAAAAGCGATGTGCTGCCCATTATGATGATGTTGCGATACCGCATCCTGCATAGTGCCGGATGGGGAGACCGATGGCATCATGGAGTGATCGTATCCTGCCGAGTTGTGTGACGAAGGTGTAAACGACGTCGATTGCTGCGGGTGTGAAGTTGCAGCAAGCATTGGCCCGGCATTGCGTGTCGGAGGTGAGGTTTGCTCTTCGTGGATGCCTTCAAACTGCAGATGGCCTCGTCCTTGATGAGGCGGGCTCATGGATGATGTCGATAAGCGTTGATGATGGTGAGAACGTGACGTTTGTCGCATGGCAGAAATGACTGGTTGGGGATATGCAGTGGCGAAGATGGAATGGGGAGCCGCCTCGGGCAAGCTCTGGCGGATTGGGTCGTATATCATATTCCCAGGGGGTGTGGGCGCAGATGTGGGAATATTGGATTGCTGAGGCTGCATGGTGCCGTGATGACCAGACTGATTAGCATGCATGTTCTGGTACATCAGCGTAAGGCTGGAATTTGGCGAGTTCGTCGTGCCCGTAAGAGACCAAGCTATTGGCGGCATATTGGGCGTCGACGGGTGTGGGAAACGTCCGCCGATTGAGCCTCGGCGAGGTAGTCGGGCGCTCTCGTACTCCTCATTGGTGTACGTCTCACAGTCCCATATCCCCTTGGACTTCTGGTCGAGCGCCGTCAGGATGTATTTGACTCCGCCCCAATATTTATGCAATTGCTGGAGGCTCTTGTAGCAACGAGAGTAATTTTGGTTGGCAGCTGACGCAAGGAGAGAGTGCTTTGTAGACATTCTTTGCTCATGCGAGGATGACTTTTGTTTCTGACCCTCCATCTTGGGTTCATTGGGCGGGGATGTTTCTCTCGACGTGGGGTTCGACGCGTTCGCAATAGATTCCATTAGGAAAGCGCATGCAGCGATGTACATGGGCTGGGATGTGAACGGGTTTCCTATAAAGCTCTTGGGGTCGATGAGTTCTGCAAAGGCAAGGATATCGGCAATCGTCTTGGCGCTAGACATGGAAAGCTCGCGACTATTAGGTAGAAGCTGATGTGTGCTCCTTAATGAGCCAAAGGGAGTGAGTAGAGTAGGTTGGTGCAGTATAATGATGAGTGCATGGAACCAGAAGTGAAGGAGTATAAAGTTCGTCCCCTGGCCCAACTTCAAGTACGTCTTGAAGTTGGAGACGCTGAAGTGTAGTCGGGGATCTTGCTTTTGATAGAGCTTCGTCAGCTCATGTTCCATCCGCGAAAGCTTTGCCCACTTCTCAGAGGTCAGATCGTTTGCGTTGCGAATGTTATTCAAGACATCGGATACACGGCCGTAGAGATGGATGATTTGGATGAAGACGGGAAAAGGAGCAGGCCAGCCCGATGCCGGGTCGAGAGTCGATACCGGCAGAGCCAACTCGAAGTCGTCATCACGAATTGTCACGGGCCTGCCCGTTCCAGAAGATATTACTCTGTCAAGAACGAAAACTGCCCAGAACGTATCGGTACGTTCTTGCTCAACCTCGAGCTGTTCTTCGCGAGTGAGACCGTTGTCATCCTCTTGTAGACCGTCAGTTGCTCCCGTATCACTGCTCGCTTGGTCTCCGTGGCGAGTATACCAAGGGTCCCTTTCACCTTGATATATCACGCCGACCATCTTCTGCAAGCCCAGGTCAACAGCCATGCGGATGGCCAGGCCCAAGTACATCCACAAAGCACTGTCTTGATCCGCCCCGAAACCTTCGTACGCCATCATCAAAAGCGCCTGAACAGCGCCTACAGACGGACAGGGGAAAGTATCGACAGTGGCAGCCTTTGCTCTGTGGGCATAGAATTGGCCTTGCTCAGCATGAGACGCCTCTTCGTCTTTACTATGCCCGAGCTGTTGTGAGTCGGAGAAACGGGCGGCCAACGCACACACAGCGTCGACAAGAATAGGCTCCACGCGCTTCTCCTTGACCATACGGATGAAGTTGTCCTCCTTCAAGAAGGGATAGTTGCAGCCCAAATGCAAGAAGAAGATTTTGACTAGGTGTAGAACAAGAGGATGGACTGGCGCAGGATCGTTGGGATCGTAGAATGGTAGGTCCTCGTCGGCGACTGCGACCTCTTCGTGCTGAGGTATACCTGAGAGAGCCATTCCCATAGACTGAACTACACTAGAACCCGAGCTTGGAGAGGTAGCACCGGCAGACCCGCCAGTGCTTCGCCTACGGTCCCGTACGGACACCACCATCTGTTTGTAGCCGGGCACAATGGCAGTCGGGCCAAAGTAGCGAAAGTAGGGCACCCTGTGGCGCTCTGTATGGTGCGACACAGGAGAGCGGCTCTGGGTACTGCGTGCATCGTCGGAGAAGGATGTTGCGCGAGGATGTGATGGTCGTCGAGGTCGAGAGCTCTGGTCTTGGTCACGAGAGCTATGTTCTGACGAACGTCGCAGGAAGGTCGGCGAGTGGCCCGCATTGGGTTCGACAACGTTCTTGGGCGGTAGTTCGGTTTCTGACTTGAGTCCAGAGAGGCGCCGGCCGGTGGCTATGTTCTTTCCATGTTTCCTTTTGTCGAGATTTCCTCCCCCTCCTCCTCCTCCTTCTTCTTCACGAATATGTTCGTCGTCCTCGTCCTCGTCTTCCTCTACGTCGTCGTCCTCGTCATGGTGGAGGTCCCGGGTGGCGATGGCGCCACTTGAAGATTTCTTCTCAATCACTTCATTATACCCCAAGCAGGTGTGTCCGTTCTTGGCGCAAGTTGAGCAGCTGGGGCGCTCGCCGGCGCATCTCGTCTTTCGTTTGCGACAAGTCAGGCATCTGTCGAGGGCCGAGTCAGGTTAGTTTCTGCATGCAAGAAACGATTCATGGGCAGACATGCAGCAGCTGTGCTAGCAAAGGAGCACCGACAGCAGGGGCCAGCAGAAAGGCAGCAAAGGGGAAAACTCACGCGGCGTTGATCCTGCGTCTTTTTGATGGCGGGTGGCCTTGGTTTGTGACGAAGCGGATCTGCTTGGGCGCGGGGGTCGCTCCGTTGACGATGGAGGTCATGGCGCGCAAGGTGAAGGAACCTCTCAATAGCGACGCAGCATGATGCTGCGCTACAGTGGGCGGAGAAAGACTGAAAGGGCCAGAAGGGGGACCAGACCAGCAGTAGAAGACTTTACTTTACTGCGTAGTGACAGAACAGCAGCGGGCGCAGCAGCAGCAGAGCGGCGGAGCAGCGGAGAGTGATCCACGTTGGGCCTCCAAGTCAGGTCAGGCCTGGGTGGAGATGGCAGGTGTCTCCCGGCTCTGAGGGGCG